CTTCAGACAAATTTGTGGGCTGGGAGAGGGGAGGCTATTTTGTGATTAACCTGTCCAACCAATATTGTTTAAAGTCTAAGGGGTTAAAAAAGAAACCCATCGTCTCCTGCAAGTTAGCCTTAGTAATATGATGAAAATGGGGAAGGGAAGGAACAGGACGGCTGTGACTAATCTGCCGCATACCTTGAGGCAAAGTGTACACCCTTATTATTATGAACAACACTCAACAGATGGATTAGTGTGTGGGAGAGAAACTGCTTCTGGAATATTTACCAAAGAAATACATTGGGAGTCTTCACAGGGGGAAATTTAGAAATAAAGATGGCACGGCCCAGAACCAGGGAGGGAAAGAAACTTAACCCAGTAAAACTGAACCAAGAACCGGTAAGAAAAAAACCTGATGGAGGGCCACCAGTTGAAGCCTCATATAAACCTATTAGAAGTAAAATATGCATGTATTTATTTTTTTAAAAAACATATAAGGGCCTAATGAAAGCCTCATTCACAAATACAAATGACATGCACACAAGGCACAACTACTGTGACCTAATGACCTTGAGTGCATGCCGTTTGCATTTGTTAACGAGGCTTTCATTAGGCCCCTTATACGTGTTTTAACTTTTCTCAAAATAAATACATGTATTCTTACTTTAAACAGGGCTCTTTTTGTAGAAAAAGCCCAGCAGGAACTCATTAGCATAATAGGCCACACCCAACAACAGAAACATATTAGCATATTGGGCCGCACCCCTGACAGCACAGCTCAGTAGCACATTAGGCCGCACCCCCATGTTACCAGAAGTGTGCTCATCCAGCCACACCCACCTTTTGCTTGTTATTCTGTTTACCTTCTTTGTTGTCAAAACCCAGGGCTTTTTTGTAGCAGGAACTCCTTTGCATGTTAGGCCACATACCCCTAATGTAGCCAATCCTAATGAGTTTCTGCTGTTGGGTGTGGCCTATTATGCTAATGAGTTCCTGCTGGGCGTGGCCAACTTGGGAGCCAGCCGGAACTCCGTTCCTGTGCGTTCCTGCCCAAAAATAGCCCTGCTTACGTATAATAAGTTTATAGGAGGTTTTAACTATCGGCCATCCACCAGGGATTTTTCTTCCGTTTTCAGCGTACCCCACCACCGAACCTAAAAATTCTGTATCCTTTCTTTCCGCTCTTGGAGGGGCAGTTACGAAGTGAAGGTGACATAAGCTCCCTTGGACACCGTTGCCTTCGCAGTGCAGGAGTCTGCTGTGTTGTGATCCCACCCATGATACTGATCAGCCTAGGGATGCCACGTCCTCCCAGGCTGCTGGCAGGGGGTGGGCCGTGGGGCTGCCAGCTCCAGGTTGGGGAACGCCTAGAGATTTGGGGGTGGAGCCTGTGGAGGGCAGGGACCTCAGTGGGGTACAATGCCAGACAGCCCACTTGCCAAAGCATCCATTGTCTCCAGGGGAACTGACCTCTCTAGTCTGGAGAGGAGGCATAAATTCGGGGGGGACCCCAGGTCCCGCCTGGAGGCCGGCATCCCTAGATCAGCCTCACAAACTTCCTGCCTGTACAGGTGTGTCCTTCACATGTATCATTTAGACGCACTAAGTCACATTGCCGGACAGGGGTTCCCACAATGCTGAGGATAGTTGCAAAGAAGATTGTGATCACAGGATAAACCAAAGATGAGATCTTCAGAACGGGGGTGGGGGGGAAATCTACGAATGCCAACTACTAGGGAGGGATGGGGATGTGGGAGAAGAGTTTGCTGTGTTGACGTTGACTCAACTAGATAAGAGGTAATTGACCCAAGAATTTAATTAAGTGCATGCTTAAGTTCCAAGTCTTCCTTGTTTCAAAAACTTTCCTGGAGACATGGTCTCAACTGCATGCCTGTCTCAAGGCATCTCTACCCTTTTATTCCTAGCTGTGTATACTGGTCTCTGGGTATCCCGCCATATGTGTTTTCTTGTATCTGACTCCATATTTTTATTACACCGGGCACTTAAAATGGGTGTTTGATTCAAGACGATGGGGTAAAAATGCACCTTCGGGTTTAAACTCACTAGAGATGACCACACAAAATTTTGAATGTGGTGCTCTTCTAGTGATTAGACAGTTCGCGACGTGAATTTCGTGACCAACCACTTGCTTCAGACGTCCACTGAAGCAGACCATGCCGTTCCATGCTGCTCTTCCTTTAAAGGTAAAGGTAAAGGTTCCCTTGTTCAAAAGCCAGTCAAGTCCGACTCTAGGGTTGCGGTGCTCATCTCCGTTTCAAAGCCGAAGAGCCAGCGCTGTCCGCAGCTCTTCCTTTAGGCAGTGCAAAGAGACTTGCACATTGGTCTCGGGCAATTACCCAACTGGGCACATTAATGACGTAAACAAATGCCACGTGCCTTCAGAGCAGACCATCACACGCCTTGACTCCAAAAAGAAAACCTTGTCAGCATTTCCTCTAACTTCTGAAATTTGGGACTCCCTTCTAACCTTACTCTGTCTTCAGGGGAGGGGTGGGTGGGAAATCATCAGTCCCACAGGCAAGTATGCAGTGAGTGACGGCTGCAGGCAGTTACAAGCCTTGCTTGCCTGTGGTTGCAGAGAGGATCTGTGGACTGGGCCAGTGACCCCACCCTGGCCTTAGAGGAGAAAGAGGATAGGATCTTTTTGACTCCCTCCTAAAAAGAATTTTGAGACAATCTAGAGAAGCAGTTCTTTCAGAACTTTCTTCTCAAATCACAAAGGAACGGTGGGGCGGTCAGAATACATGCTCAGCACCCACAAACCCAGTGTAGATCAGTGAGGATCCATTGCCAGAGTGGATGCAATCCACCCAAGTGGGGGTAGAAAGAGTGGACAGACAGAACTTTTTCTCCCTCTTCCAAAACACTAGAAGTCAGGGGCATACAATGAAGGTGATGGGCAGTAAGCTCAGGAGAGACAAAAGGAAACACTTCTTTATTCAACGAGTGATTATAATGGGGAATTTTGTAGCCGGGGGATTAGCGATGGCTTAAAAAGGGTATTAGACAGATTCATGGAGGATAGGTCTATCAATGGCTACTAGCCATGATGACTAAAGGGGAAGTCCACATTCAGAGGCAGTAAACCTCTGAATACCGGTGCCAGGAAGCAACGTCAGGGGAAAGCCCCAGCCTCTATGCCCCATTGTTGGACCTCCAGAGTAACTCGTTGGCTACTGTATGAGTCAGAATGCTAGACTAGATGGACCACTGGTCTGATCCAGCAGGGCTCTTTAGTTGGCAGAGGAGGATACCATGCTGATTCAAGATCCTCCCACTCTGGAGCTTCACACTACCTTCCCCCAAGAAAGACTCATCTCATTTTGAAAGACAGAGCTTATTCTAAAGCAAAGCACGTAATCTGCATTATGCCACCGCATTTAAACTTGCAGATTCTTCAAGTCATAATACCAAAGAGCATGAATACATGCATTTACATACATTCTGAAGCTTTACATCAGGGGTCCCACAACCTTTTTCGAGCCGGTGGGCACCTCTGGCATTCCGATACAGCATTGTGGGCACAGCCACGAAACGGCTGCCACGGGAGGCGAAGCCAGCCACGAAACGGCTGCCGCAGCTTACCGTCGCTCACACAGGGAAGATCCTTGTGCTGCGGTGGCAGGTGCTGCGAAAGCAACATCTTTAAAAAATCCGAACAGCCAATGAAATCTCCAGCGGCCAAGACCAACTCTGCCCTACTTGGCCCTACTCGCTTTCTCAAAACACTTGGTGGGCACCAGGAAAGCCCTGGGTGGGTGTTGTGGCACCACCCCCTGCTTTAGCTGTTGCTCCTGCCGTTATCAGAACAGGATCGGGCGACTAGGAACTAACCACCGAACTTTCTGCAACGCATCCGAGCAGGCTTGCATCAAGCCTTGCAACTTTGGTGACGCGCAACTGACTGGGCTGACTTAGCCCTGATCAGGAACTGGGTGCTTAAATGGAGCTGATGTCCTTCTGTGCAGGCCCCCCCCCCCCCCC